GGTTTTGGGACAGAAAAACAACACCCTCACAGTGAAATAATGGGCTACAGGACAAGGAGCACGTTTCCTCCTCCTGTCAGGGCTCCCCAGACCATTTTCCTCCTCGGGATAAATGCTGAAACTTGTAGCAATAATACCCCCTTCTTTCAGACAAACGCCTCCCCGCAGTCAGCACCTCGAACCCGGCAGCAACTGAAGCCTCGCGGCTGGAGACCTTGCAGAGCTTTTCTCCCCCGAACAAAAAAAAAAAAGAAAGAAAGAAAAAAAATCCTGAAGGGGAACAAAAGTGTCCACATTTTTTTTTTCTTCTCCTGCGTGTCCCCTTCTCCTGCTGAATATAACCCCGCTGCCTGTCGCTCAAATGGGAATATTAGGACGTCAATCTCACGGCCCCTGTGCGCCTTTGTCTTTGCTGAGTGCCCGGCTCTGCCTACCACGCATCTTTTGTCCGGCAGTCCAATGCCAGCCATTATTCCGGCTCTCCAAGCTCGGCTACAGCTCGCTCTTCAGGGGTAGTTAAGGTGCCTAATCGCGTCCTTTAAAAAAAAAAAAAACACCTCAAACGGGGGAACAACTTCTTTCCTTTCACCTCGCCTGGCACGGGGACAAAGAGTTCCCGTGGCCTGGCCCCTTTCCACGGAAGCCCTCTTAAAATGTTTATCTACTCAATTTGTCTCCGAACTGGGTTAGATATATCTGGGAAAGTTAGACAATCTGGAGGCAAAATGCTTATTATTCCCTTCCAATAATTTCGTGTTTTTTCCCCCCTTTGCGTAAGTTCATTCCTTAAATGCGTAACGTGGAAAAACAGGACTAAATTACCATCACCGCGCAGTGTCTTTAATGTCCTCATTTTTTATTTGGATAAATGTGAAATAGACTAAAACAATTCTCTGTTGAAGCAAAAAAAATAACATTTCCAAACCCCCCCCTTTGTCTGTCAAAACCAAAGACGTGAAAAACAACCATTTAAAAAAAAAAACCCATTACGCGCAGCGGTTTTTTTTTGTCCAACCGAGCCAGAAAATGAAAAGCAGAACTGTTGGACCGGGCCACCCGGTTCTGGTAAAATGGCGCTTTGTGTGTGTGTTTTATCCAGCCGTAGACGGCTCTGACTTGCATAATTCTTCCTTTATCCGGAAATATGAGTCCGTTCGCGTATCTATAACAAGCGCCTTTTTTTATCGTCTTTTTTTGTGTATTTGGAGAAAGCGAACGCACGTCTCCTGGGAAGTAGGAAGTCCACCGAAAAGGAAAAAAGTCTCGTGGCGCTACCAGGCCCGGATCCCCTGCAGGGAGCCCTGGCAGGACGTGACGGCCGTCGCCTGGTGCGCCTGGGCCGGCGCGGAGCCTCCGAGGCCGCCCGCGTTCCCCAAGTTCACGCTCACGAAGGCGTTGGGGTTCCCGGTGGGGGGCAGCGCGGGGATGCCGCTGTACGTGCAGCTGTAGTTGCTGTTGTACGCGGGGGGGGCCCCCCCCCCCCCGTAGCTGTAGGCCGGGTACCCTCCGTAGCCGTAGGGCCCGGATCCGTAGGCGGCCGCCCCTCCCCCGGCCGCGTAGCCCTGCGTCCCGCCCAGGCACGGCTTCCCGTCGCGGACCAGCACGGGCACGGCCACGCGGCGAGGCGGCGGCGGTGGGTGGAGGTGGTGCTGCTGCCCCCCCTGCTGAACCTGCCCCCCCCCCGCCGCCGCCTCCAGGGACTTGTCCTGCCGCTGCCGCTTGCATTTGTAGCGCCGGTTCTGGAACCAGATCTTCACCTGGTTGGAGGTGAGCTTGAGCGCGGAGGCCAGGTGCTCGCGCTCGGGCGCGGACAGGTAGCGCTGCTGCTTGAAGCGCCGCTCCAGCTCGAACACCTGCGCCTGGGAGAAGAGCACGCGGGGCCGCCGCCGGCTCCGCGGCTTCGGCCCCGGCCCCGGCCCGGGCCTCTCCGCGCGGCCCTGCCCGGCCTCCGTAGCCTCCTCCCCGGCCGCCAGCCCCCCGCAGCTCTCTGCGCAGATTGGCAGAGTCAGACAATTATTTAAATTCACGACAACGTAAACAGACAAATTACTGGTGATCATTTCAGAGCTTGTTGGTGTTACTTGAGTCAGAAAATAAAAATAAAAGACATTAACTTGGGCTGATCCACACATATTTGACGAGAAACGAGAAAATGCGCATTTACGCATGAATTCTGGTTTTGCAGTGGACTTTTCTGCTTGGCCCAGAGGTTCAGAAGCTCAAACGTTGATTCTCTGAACGGGTCGTGAATAATTACACGTTCCCCCGTGGAGGAAGAGCCCGGGTCGCCGCGTCTGTGTTTATCATTACCAGCGCTCCCTCCCGGTGTCACTTCTTTTACAAGCCTCTTTAAACTAATTGTCGGTTTACGGGGCCGCTCATCATAACAAGACTCGAAGGCTCGAGCCACTAGAAAGTGTTTGACATCCCGGGACTTGGCCGGATTCGTCTCAGGCGTCCACCATTTGATAGGGGCTTTATTGGAGTCGTGTCGGGGGCGCGCGTGGGGCCTCCAAGCCCTCTGAAAAGATGTTTAGTTTCGGTCTGATTGCGGCATTACGCGCACCCAGTATCTTTATTTTTACCGTGTTTTATTCTATGTCCCATTAACGCTGTGGGGAATTTGCTTTTCACAGGTTCGGGATAAAACTAACCCCTAAAACGCAAATGTCCTGCTGCCATTTGTCGAATTTGAAATCTCTATTTCTCGAAGTGAGCCTCAAGTCAAATGAGCTCAGTTTGCTAAGACAAGCTACTCAATTTAAGAAGAAAAATAAGACTTCAGCCTCCAGTCTGAGTCTTTTTTTCTTCTTTCTTTTTGCGCTTTTCTGACCTCGCCTTTTTGCGTAAAAACGCCCTCACTCTCAAACTCTCCCCTCGTGTCCTTTGTTTGTGTGTGTTTTTTTTTTCTTCTTCTCATTTCTAACAGCCTCTCGGCGTGTGGACTTTCAACTCACTGCTCTCCTGCTCCTCCAGCTCGGTGGGGGCCCCCGGGCCCGCGTGGTGGACGTACAGGCTCGGGGACAGCCGCGGCTCCGCGCGCTCCTCGTCCTCCTGGCGCGCGGACAGC